TTGATCAAGAGACGAGAAAATGAGAGCTTCAGCTGACTTTAAGCTAAAGATGAAATAATGCTATATATAACCATTAACAAAATATTTATATCTCAAGTTTAAAAGCTATTTTTACTTTACGTCTAGTGAAATAAAACTCTCCAAGCATTTTCGAATTCGATTTGAAATCCAATTAAAATTAAACGACTATTAAATTTTCACAATGATTTCAGTGAAAGCCCTCGGACAAAATTAAATTATGACACAAGTCACAAGTCAGAAGTCCTTTTGCAATATAATAAAAACTAAGCAAACAGCTCAACCTCATAAATAGTTGAAAGCCCAAGGAAAAAATGGACGTGTGAGTGAAGTGATTCTTAGAAATGGACGACGCAATACCCTGTAATTAGCTGTAAAAGAAAAGTATTCTGCTCTTTTCTGACTAAAAATTGGTGAACATCAAATGGAATATATAATAGGAAATATAAATATGTGTTAATCGATAACTATCGATTTTTATCAACATTTTACAAGTCTTTATAAGTCTTATGTATCATTTTATATAAATATATATTTAAATTCCAAGCTAAGTATAATTTTAAAAAAATTCCAATTCAGCATATTATCGATAAATGTTTGACATCAAGAGCTTTGAAGATTTATCGAACAAATATATATATTTTTACACCAATAATAGTAATTTTAACTTTTCTTCTTTGAGAGAGTAGCACATACAAAAAGATAAGATCTCAATATGCTTAGCATACCCCACAGCCTCTGCAACAGTGCGAGGTATTTAAGAGCTTCTCTTCGTGCGCGTCCATCACCCGCATCAACTTACCAATGCACAGCAACAATGGCAACAGCAACAATAGCAACAACAACACACACACACGTTGCCTGTCCACGTGCCAATGCGTGTGAATGTGGCCCCGTTCGGCATGGCTCCATGTCCCTTCGCTTGCTTCTTCATACCACTTGGGCAACTGTTGTTATTGTTGCAGCTGCTGCTGCTGCGGCTGCTGCTGCTGCTGCGGCTGCTGTTGCTGGCTGCTACTGTTGTTGCTGTTCTAGCTGCTGCTGATATTGTTGTTTGTTGCTGTTTTCATTTTTATTGCCCGGCAGCCACATTCGAAGTGAAACTGAGTAGACGATGCCGGACGCTGCGTGTTTGCACTGTCCGCAACTAATTGGATTGACGTCGGCCATTCAGCAACGAGCGCCAGTCACCAGACGTTTTAATATTTACTCTCTTCCTCGCTCGCTCTTCTTTTTCTCTTTCTCTCTCTCTTTCTTTTCCTCCCACACATGCGAAAAGTAGCCATTAAAATTTGTTCGATTTGAAATGAGCAGCAGCAGCCATTTTGTTTCCAAATGGGAGCCGATCAGCTGCAGCGGTGGGCGCGTGTCAGGAGATCGCCTATCGATATTATTCGTGCACGAACGATATTTACAATGGACAGCGCAATGCATTTTTTTGTTTGTTTTATTTTTACATTCCATTTCATTTTCAGTCCCAATAAATGGAAGTGACATAACGGCGCGAACATTGTGTGCTTTATTGTCACATAAATAAATAAATGGCGGCCATATTGCTGAGGTGTGCATTTCGTGGGTAAATAAATAGTCGATGTGTGTGTGTGTCTGTTTGCACACGCGCTGGCAGTGCAAAGAGCAGCAAACATTTCAATGAAAAAAAAAAAATATATATATATATATATATACATACATACATATGCATTCATTTCCATCAGACGCTTTCGATTAAAATGACAAACGACTTTAATCTAGTAATTATGTACGTGATCACAATGTGCTTAGTTGACGTGCTCGACTCACAGCATGTCGAGCATTTTTTTGGCAATCAGTTTGAATGTCAATTAGATGTTAAATTAAAGTTAGAATTGTGCTAAAATTTTTATTCAATTTTCAATGCGTCTAATGAATTGAAATACTGCACATTTCATGAAATTCACATCATTAGCAGCAAATGCATTTTTTATTATGTGATAATAGTGCAAGCACTGAAAGTCATAATTAAACCATCCACGTGACCCGTAATAGACCAGCCTTTGCTCCCATTACCGTTAACGAGCTACATACGAACTAGCAGCCAAGCAGCCTACCAAGCAAAGGCAGCCAAGGATGCAGGCAGGCAGGCAGGCGGCCATCTTGGCTCCTACTCTATGTCCACTTGTTGTGCGCACCGACTTCAAGTTCTGCTTCCCCACTCTCCCATTCGTGTTGTTGTTTCCTGCTTCCCTCTTTAAACAATAATAAAGAAAAAGAAGAAAGAGAGAAAGAATAAACGGAAAACAACAACTAGAAAATGTTAAGAGAAATTGAATGCCCTAGGCCATAGGAGTCGGACGCTGGGCGCTGCAGCCATTTGGCAAACGTATTGGCCGGTGCGCCAGAGCAACGGCATCTCAGAGGAAACTTTGTTGCAAAATGTGCAACAAACAGGAGCAGAAAACAAGAAGAAAAAAAACAACAATCGCTTTAAAAGTTGCGCAGAGACAGCTCGTTTTTGGGGGCGAGTGGGCAGGGCATTGGCTTCATCAAAACATTTCACAACGTCGCTTCGTTTTAATGGCGGCCAAGTCGTCAACATCGCCGTGCCGACGATGCCAACAGTAACGGTAACGGTAATGGCGGAGGCGCAGCCCCACCCCAAAGCGGCCAGCCTTTTGTTGCTTAATTGGCGCGCTGGACGGCAGACCCGTAACACTAGGCCAGAGTAACTGGTTATTCGATTTAGAGATGAGCCTCGGGTGCATCTGGCTCAAAGCAAACGACTATCGATGCAATATGCATTTAATTATTCAAATCCATTATGCAAATTATTATTGAATAAATAATAAATTAATTCATTTAATTACGTTTATAGCCAATTTTTTCATATTAGTATTTTCTTTCATACTATCTCCGTATATCTGCATACACGTGCACTTGAAACTGCATAGCACATTTTAATTTCTGTTCGTGTCACGTGTCACGCTCATCGCTAAGTGCAATGTGATGAGTTCAGCCTCCCACGGCCTGCATATGTAATTGAAGAGGGCAGGCCAACAACATTTTGCGCCGTGTGCGCGATTCGTTCACGTCCACACGCCATTTGCATTCTGGCATTTGCCATTGTCCTGCAGCGGGAGCTGCTGTTGTACGTGTGCGCCATATAACTTTGGCAACGGCCAGCAAATACGTAATCACAACAACAACAACAACAACACAAACAACGGCAGCACCAACAGTAGTAGCAGCCGCAGCGGCAGCAGCAACGGCAACGGCAGCAACAGAGAAGGCGTCAGAAATGACAGCAACAAAACAATGTGGCAAATGTTCAACGTGAGGCGTTGGCAGCAGTTGCCTCGGCTGCGACTCTAGCCAGGGGACTAAGGGACTTAACGTAAGCCAGCGACTGAGACTGGGACTTTGGGCATCCGCAGCAGCAGCAGCAGCAGCAGCTGGGCGGTCATTCCAGTTATGTCACATGGCTGACTTAATTCATTCATTTAGACGACTCTCACAATTGTAGGTGTAGCGCCCTCTGTCGGCAGCATTGACAACAAAAGCAGCAAATGTGACAATTGGCATATGTCACTTTACAATACCCTGTAATTAGAGCTGTCTAAAGTGAAATGATCTAAGAGATATGTAAATCAATTTAGAACAAAATAAATAAACATAATCTAAGTAATATTTAAAATGAAAATAAACCAGAAGTAAATTATAATATCAGAAAAAATCAAACAAAATAAAATAAGAAGCAACACGAAATTTAATAAATTAAATCTCTCTCTCAATCCTTTAGCTTTATAATTAAGTCTGGAACTTTGAAGACATCGACAACATAACAGCTTCTCATTTTATATACATACATATGTATATATGTATGTAAATATATGTATATCCCTTGACACAACTATCGGCACAGGGTATAAGAAATTCTGCAGCAGTCAGTCAGTCAGTCAGTGGAGAGCCATTATGGCACCGACATTGTCAATGGCCTGGCACTGGCGAATTATTATTGCCTGGTGCAGGCAGTTGGACGCCAACGATGCCCAACATGCTTCTCATTGTTCCCAGACCCATTTCTCTGTCCGCCATTGTACGTTGTGCATGCAAATGCAATTGCAATTGTATATGTACATATATGTATGTAGGTGTGCTTGTCCAAGTATCTATGGCTGTGTCTGTATGTATATACATGTACATATATACATGTACATATGTATGTATGCATGCATGAGCTTTGTGCTGGCATGACATGTGTGCTCCATCTTCTTATGACATTTGAACCATTTTGCACAGGTGGGAAATGGGTGGGGCAATGATATGACTGCAACAATTTGTCAGCTAGTCAATCAGCGACTTGAGAGTGGGCGTCACATACTTAGTTTAGATTATCGTACAGGCACTGAACCATATACAAATGTATGTATGTATGTTCATACGAGCGCATGTATTTCAAGAAGAAACGGTTAATATTATGTGAGAATAGCTGAGTAGGGAAGGTATGATGATAAAAGATAGTGTTTAGAATGTCATGTAGTGACTGCACTGCTGCTGTTAGGTCGGCTGCACATTATAAGCAGTTGTATAACTTATATATGTATGTGTTTCAATTATTTTTTCATATTTTTATTAAATGATTTACACGCATTCGTTCCATAGGCCCGTTTCAGTTACTTAAATAAATTGCCACCCATTGACTTAACTTAAAATAATCGATAAAAATATCGATGACGCTTCCTGCAAGTGATTAATGATCTACATACTCAGCTAAAAGCGGTCAATCAAATTGTTATATGGCTCATTATCATTTATGCTGCTTTAAGAAATAGCAGAATAATATTTAGATGATTATATAAATCACAAATATCATTTGTTTTGAAAAAAATTTGATGGAACACGCCAACTCGATTAAAATGCATTTCAAAGTGCAACGGCCGAATGTTGTATCAGCTGGCAGCACTGCAGTGTTGTTAAGCGCATGCGCAACAGCGTTGCCACACATTCATTTCAAATTTGACTTTTGCGCTAACGAACGTCGTGGAGAACGCCAGAATCAAGAGAAAACGACGCTGAAAACTATAATAGATATATATAAATAAAGTACTATTACAAAATCACACCAGGAATAATAGAATAACTGTGCAATATGCTGAGTACTGCAGTAAACCCACCATTGACAACGCTGCGCACAGGCGCCGCCGCCGTCGCGTCCTTGGCGAACAACAAAGGACAACAACTCGAAAGCAAAAAACAGCAACAGGTGCCGCAACAAGTTGCCTGCAACCTGACTGAGATTATAAGCAAACTGCAATTGGACTATGGCAATTACAAATATACCGTCTATCGATGTGCTAGCAAATTTGTCGCCCTGCAGAAGATATTTCACAGTAAGCTAAAATTTTATTAAATTTGCATCGCATTTGACTTCTTTCTGATTTCGCAATTTTCTGGCATTTGCAGCTAGTAAAATACCCTATAAACTTGTGATGGCCATATTGCAACGCCATGGCATGCCCGTGAGCAGCAGCAATTGCAATTTGAATTTGATGGTGCCGCCGTTTCAGCTAACCTCGCTGCTGCACGACATTTATTTCGCCTGCGAGAAACTGGGACATTTTACCAAAACACAAAACTATCAACTCGACACGGCCACTGCACTGTTGGCCAACTTTTTTTGGAATATCTACGATCCGTAAGAGTTGCCTTTGTCTGTGCTATGGATAGATGTATTTATCCATATCTCTCTCTGTCTCTCCCTGTTTCTCCTTTGCAGGCAACGACGTCACTCCATTTCGCTGCTGGAGATCAAGGTGACTTTTTTGCTGCTCTGCAAGCTGTACAGCAGCGAGCACATGGTTAGCGACTTCTATAGCATGCTGGCCGATGCCAAATTTCAGTGTGTTTCGCGCTATGCATTTGAGCAGCTTCTGCTTACGCTGAGCAAGCTATTTAGCTATCTGGGCGAGTCGAAAGCCTATGGACCCCACAATTTGCAGCCGATGCTGGAGCAGTCGTTTGCCCGCTGTCCGCACGGCCTCGCCGGCCTTGGCGAGCAGCAGTTTCACAATTTGTGGACGCACACCCAGACACGCTTTCTAATCTATGGCAATCTGTTGGCTCTGATCAAGCGCATCGAGGACACGGAGCACTTGATACACAGCAATCAGTGCGCCGGCTGTCGCATGGAGCACATCATTGGCATACGTTTCAAGTGCCAAGTGTGTCGTGATCTGTCGCTGTGCCTGCCCTGCTTTGCCTCGGCCGTGCATGTGAGTGGCAAGCATGAGCCGTCGCATCGCATGTGCGAAGTCTTTGTCGAGGATCAGCCGCAGCCGAAGCGCTGGACCCAACATCTGGCACGCCTCTGCAGCTGGTTTCCCTATGCACAGAAAGGCCAGCGCGCCGATGCCGAGGAGGAGGAGCGACGCGGCTTCTGCAATGCACAGGAAAGCGGCGCGGGCATCGGCCAGCCCAGCAATGCAACCGAATTGGCGCCCATCCCCGCCGAAACGCGCAGCATTCGCAGCAACTCAACGTTGCGTCTCAAAGCGTCGCCAAACGAGAAGCCACAGCCCCAGCCCCAGGCGCAGCCGCAACCGCAGCCTCAGCCGCAACTGCAGCAGCAACCACAACAGGAACTCTGTACGTCCTTGGAAAAGTATTTGAACCAATTTTTTCGATAATTCAACCCATACCCTTTACACATTGCAGGCTCCTTAACTGGGCTGGCGAGCAGCGCCTCGGAGCGCTTACAATCCATTATCGACCGTGTTTTACTGCAGAATGTGTGAGTAATAGAACGCGTATTACCTTTGCAATAGCTTGTCATACTCATTCCTTGCAGCAAACTGGAGATGCAACTGAAACAGCTGCCGAGCACATCGAGCGCTCAAATATGTGATTTTCTGAGCGCCCATCAAAGTTTCTTGCTGCAAATAATTGAGGACATGCGACAATTATCGGTGAGCTATATATATATACAAGTCTGATCATATATATCTGATGATTTCCTTTGCTTATGCAGCGCGCTTCGTCTGCTGCACCGCTGATCAGCTCCACGTTCCTCAACGCCAGCACGCCGCAACGTTCCTCGCCGCCAGCTGCAAAAGCTGCATACGATATGTACGCACCTGTGGGCGCCAATTTAACACATTCAAGTAAGAACTGTAACATATTGTAATATCCTACAAATTATAACTGAAAACTACTCCCCCCTTAGTCAATGGCGCCGAGTTGAACCGCAGCTACTTGGAGGCCAACAAATCGGATTACTCACTGAGCGACATTAGTTTGTGGTTCGATCAGCGACGCTCCAGTTTGTTGCACTCGGCTGCCAGCAACATGCAGCAACAGCAACAGCAGCTGCCACTGGGCGCATTGCTGGAGCAGTCGGTCAATGTGGATATGCGTGATACGGAAATGGTTAACTTTAAGCTGCTGCTGAACAAGGTCAAAGAGATTGTCGAGGACTCGTACAGCGACAATGCCGAGCTCTCGGCGGCTACACAAAATCTGGAGAATGTCCTTGACAATATCATCAAAGGCGAGGAGCAACAGCGGCGCAGCAGTTGCAGTGCTCGAAGCTCACGAAACTTTTCGGAAAAACTCTAGGCTCTCGATATCTACATCTATATATACATATATTTTTATATACTCGAAGTTTTCCATAACAAAATTCATTTGAAGTGCTTTAAATTAGTTTTAAGTTTTGTTGTGTATAAAATTGTAAATGTTTCTTAACAATTTGTGCAATTCTGCAAATTGCATAAGAGGCAAGTGTAATGCAAGTGTAATCCTAAAAAGCATATATGACCTACATATATATTCCTATTCAGGATAAGCTTCATGTATAAAACTGTCCGTCCAAGCTAAAAGTTTTATTTTTGATTTATATTTAAGCACGAAACATTTCTCTACTGTGTAATAAATAATAAATGCCCGCATATATTGTATACAAAATGATGTTTTAATAAAAGGTAAAACAAAAATATTTTCTAATGAACACTGAATATTAAATGTTGCCCCAAGCAGCAGCTAGCTAGTATCTAACTGCATTTGGGTCTTTATCACAGTTATCAGCGAATCGCTGGCCATTTCCAGTTGATGGAGGCGCTGAAGCTGCGCTCGCTTTGGCTGCAGCTGCAGCAGATCGGCTCGGGCTTGCAGCTCGTCGCGCAGCGCGGATTCCAGGAGTAGTGTTGCATTTGGGGGCGCACTGCACGCCTCCGCCTGCAGGTCGAGCAGCGAGAGATTGCAGTGCAGCTGTAAGAGATCCCGTAGCAGGCGGCGCAGCAGGAGGCAGAGCTGCGTCTCTGTGCTGGCATAGAGCTGCCAATGCTGGCCAGGATCGTTGCGCAGCAGAAGCAGCTGCTTCGGGCCATTATAGAAGATGCGCTGGGTAGGTGCAGTGCAGCTGCTGTTGCCATTCATATTGCTATGGCCAAAGGCAAACTCCTGCTCCGCACCAGAGTCATCAAGCAGTTGTACAGCTGTAGAAGACAGAGAGAGATTCTTTAGAGATTCACTTATATAAAGGAGCTGAGCTACTCACAATCTCTCCGCTGACCTTGCTGCTTCTCCTGCGGCACAGCTGTGGTCACAAAGTTGAGTTTGGTCAGCAGCAGCTGCTCGAATTGGGTTTGCTGATCGACGTCCTGGAACACCAGTCGCAAAGCGCAGTGCGCGGCTTGAGTCATGATCACGGCGAGAAAATCCTGATGCAACGTCCGCGGCGAAAAGCTGGGCACATGCAGCTCCTGCTGCTGCAGCAAGGCGGCCACATTGATGCTGGCTAAATGCAGCTGCAGCTGCCGCCGGCATTCGTCCTGCAGCTCGTACAGGGCAAGCAGTTGTATGCTGTCCAGCGTTAGCAAATCCTCCAGCTGCAGGCGCACCAGCAGCACGACGCTGCGCTCAGGTGACAGCTGGTCAACACGAGAGGCGGGCTGCCAGCTTAAGCCCGAGTTGCTCGACTGTTGCTCCTGCAGGGCCCAGAACTGGGCTAGCTGGTCGTAATCCTCCGGCGGCTGGCCATCAGCCTGCAACGGCAGCTCGTACAGTCGATACACGTAGTTTAGGCCAGGACCCTGAGGCAGGCGCAGCAGCGGGCGCAGAGCATGCAACGTGCTGTTGTAATTGCTGCCCGCCGCATTGGTCAGGAGGATGCCCAGCACCAGAGAGTCGCCGCAGATGCGTGTCCATATGTCGCCGCAGCGTCGCAGCAGCTGCTTCTCCTCCAATAGCAACGAACGCTGGCCCGGCAAGCCGAAGGCCTGCAGCTCGCGTGACTGCATAAAGTCCAGCTGAGTTTGTGTGCGTTGCGAATGCAGCTCGGCGCGTGCGCAGTGGACGCGCTGCATCAACCGCTTGAATCCAACAACAGTGCTGCCGCTACTAGTTGAAGGACTCTCTGGCGCCTCACTACCTTGAAAATTTGTGCGCAATCGCTTTCCATTGGTGAACTCCAGCTCCACATAGGCCTGATACTTGATAGGGCCCCTGACCAGCCGGTACTCCTGCAGATTATCATGCTGCGCTATTAGCTTAAAACTGGCGCCTTGTTCGGCCGGTCGCTGCAGCACCAGCAACTTCTGCCAGCACTGGAGCAGCACGTATATGTGCTCGCCCAGCCAAACGTATTTGCCTATGCTCAGGGGCAGATCTTCGGGGGCATGCAGCATATTGTAACTGGTGGCATCGCCGCTGATATCGGCCACATCATCGCGTATGAGAAATCTACTGAGCGGTCCATTGTACGATCTAAGTTCTGTCGCCAGCTGCTGGAGACTCGATTCTTTGAGATCGATGTAGTGCAACAACTCCTTTTTGCGGAATTCATAGAACTTAAGATTGCGTCCCAGCACAAGGCTAGATTTGGATTTCTGGACATGCAGCTGACTGCAGTAAGCGACTGTATCACGTTGTAAGAGAAATTCGGGCACATCCTCATCGACAAGCGTAAACATGTTAAATGTAAACAAAAAGAAAACAAAAACAAAAACCCGCTAAATGTGGTGCTCTAGAGATGTGCAGTGCAACTGATATTCACTGCAGCTAATATCGATAATTACCTATCAATCGCTGGTCAATCATTAACCAGCACTACTATCAATTTTAAATGTAAACAAACAAGTAGAAAACAATAACAAAACCCCGCTAAATATCGTTTGCTAGAGATGAGCAGTGCAACTGATATTCACTACGATATTTACCTATCAAACGCTGGTCAGTCATTGGCCAGCACTGCGAATGCAATTATTCAATTATAGCTGCTGCACAATTCCCACAATTTATTCACTTACTCAATTATTTTAATAATTTTACCAAATCAATTTTCTTTCTAATCCTTGATACGCACGTTTACTAAATCGCAACAATTATTTGCTGCGCCTACTTCCGATATATATCGATCTGAACAAGGAATTCAATTCTAACGGCTAATTTGTTTTTTATTAAATTGTAAATTGCATATATGTTTGTATTTGCTTACAACTATAAAATACACGATTTAAACATAAAGTAGGAACAAGATTGTAGTTGAAAAAAAAAAGATTGACAAAAAAATTGGTACTTAGTCCACATCACAAGGCGGGCCACTTTGAGTGCCCCCTTCAGTCACTCGAAACGGATTCCTCGATTGCAACTTAAATCAACATTTGTTCACGCGAGCCAAGCATTAATGGCTTCGGCTGTGCTCCGCCAGCTGTCAGAACGAGGGAACGTCTCATTGCACGATTGCGCTGCATGCTGCTGTTGCGCTCGCGCACCGATTGCCGCAGCTGCTGACGACGCGCGGCCACCACGCTGGCTGAATCCTTCTCCGCAGCATTCATGGCCGCCAGCAGGTCGAAGGCTGCTCGCTTTTGCTCCTTAGTCCACATGTTGTTGAACTGCTGCGGTTGTTTTTGTTGCTGTTGCTGCTGTTGGGACGGCAGTTGCTGCGTAGCTGGCAGCTTAACAGCCAAGGGCGGGCGTCGCTGCTGCTGCTTGGTTGCAGCTGAAGTTGGAGCTGCAGCTGCTGCTGTAGATTTGGCCGGCGCCTTGCTCACTCGACTCAGCCCGAACAGAGACAGAATGGACTTGCGACGCGTGCTAGAGGCCTCACTCTGGGCAGACTCATTACTGGAGACACTCGTCTGCATGGGCAGCACAGGGGGAGCAGGAGCAGGAGCAGCACCAGCTGACTGCTCCGGCCCAAACTTGCTGCACTTGGGCGGTGATTGAAACGTGACCTTGCGCAACGTGCTGCTCTGGCTCTGTAGCTGCAGCTGTTTGGGCGCCGTCATCAGGGCCAGATTCATTTTGGCCACCGTTGGCGACGTCTCATTCAGCTCAATGCTGCAATAGGTGTCATCGTGGTGCTTGGCCAGCGGCTTGCGTGGCGGCACGGGCGGCACCATCTGGCAAGTGCACAGTTTCTGTGACTGTGCCTGTGCCTGCACCTGCGCCTGCGCCTGCTGCTCCACCTGCTCCAACTTAAGCCGCAGCTCGCGTTCCATTGCCTTCACGCGCTGCTCGGCCGCCGCCAGCTCATTCGCGCGCTGCTCCAGTAGCGACTCCTGAGCCCGTATGGCATGCATACGCTTCTGCAGCGCCTCATCGAATATGTTCTGGGTGATGCGTTGCGGACTATGCTCACGCTTGATGCTCTCGTAGAGCGATGGATCCGACTTGAGTAGCTGCCTGCTGCCAAAGATGCGACGCTTAGCTGAGTAGAAAAGCTCGTTGCGCAGATCGGGCGTAAAGACGCCCGTGACGCTCAGACGCCGCTGGCCGTAGCCCTCATTGAAGCTATACTGCTCCGTGAAGAGTGTGCTGGACAGCTCGGGCGAGTCGGGAAATAGCTTGCCCGCACCGGGCAACTGGAAATCCTCGCCAGCATCCACGAGGCGCGGAAATTCAGCTGGCAATTGGTTGATGTTCCGCACCAGCAGTGGATGTCGAGTGATCACCTCAATGCCCGGTCGCTGCTCATGATCCACGGCCAGCATAAAGCCAATTATCGACTGCAGATCGGCGCTGTAGACTGCCGGAATGCAGCTGAACTGGCCATGGGCAATATTCTCCGAGAGCTGCTCAAAGGCGCGTCCCCGGAACGGCGGACGCAATGCGCACAGCTCGTAAATCAAACAGCCCACAGCCCAGACGTCACTCTTGCGGTCGTATTGCCGGCCCTTGACCAGCTCCGGGCTCATGTAGTGCGGCGTGCCCACAAAGCTGGCCGCAAAGCTCTGATCGCGGCGTAGGACACGCGCCAAGCCAAAATCCCCGAGCTTCACATTCCCACAGGCATCCAGGAAGATGTTCGCCGGCTTGATGTCCCGATGTAGAATCGTTCCACTGGGTATCTTATTATGGCACACCTGCAGTGCACGGCACAGCTGGAAGAGCACGCGCCAGATGTACGGCTCCTCGAAACGCTTCCGCTGTGAGCGGGCACGCTGTATGAGCTGGGCGAGATCACCGCCGTCGCAGCACTCCATCACAATATAAATGGACTTGGCTTCGCGATTGACAAGGTGATGATAGTACTGCACAATATTGGGATGCTGCAGCTGTCGGAGCACAGTTATCTCGGATATAAGAGATTCACATTTCTCGTCGTCCAGCTCATCGTAGTTCATGCCCTTCCAGGCGTAGAGCACGCCAGTGGTCTTATCCTTCACCTTGTAGCAGGTGCCGAAGGCTCCGTTGCCCATCACGGCCAGCACCTCGTAATCCTGCAGCGTCTTGTTTGCAAACTCTGAGGTGGATTTCATTGTCGAGCCGCCACCTTCGGCCTGCTGCTCTTTGCTCATCTTGGGGCTGTGATTTCCAGTAGAGGAGCTGTTGCTATTCATTTATTTCAAAAACTCTTTCCACTTTTCAATTTCTACAGCTCCGTGCTCCCGTTCTGTTTGCTTTGAATACCGAAAACTAACTGATTTCATGGCTTTGCTCCTGCAAACAAGTTTTTCGGCAAAATCACGCACGCACACACACACATACTGACACACATCGCATGCGCACCCACACACACAATTTTACCTGCGAAAAACAACAACAGCACGTATACCAAACAAGTGTTGCATACTGCCTACACATTAGAGATGAGCGGCAGGCGTGGACGTGTTACTGTGACCGAAGGAAGCGCAGACACACACCGAAAGATCACGGCAAAGAATATGCATAAAAAAAATATTTTATAACTATAGTATTAAATAGCAACAAACAATAATAATAATGCAAGTAAATATAGCATCTAGCTCTATCGGAGTTAAACTTTATTCAGAAAATCATTAAAAATCACTCACACACGTACATAAACTATAGTCACAGCAATAGTCACGTATCGTGGTGAGCCTTCAAAAATCACAGCGCTGCTCATCACTAGTTGCATATCTTGTTACGTTCCTAGAAGGTTGCTGCTATCGCTGTCGCACTCAAGCATACACACACACACACGAAAAGAAAAAGAGAGAGAGAAGGGCACGACTGCGACAATAGTACACACTTTGCAAATCTTGCACGCTGCGCCGTCGCTCTGTTGCCTTGAGCCTGTGTACAAAATAAAAACCGTTGGATGTGCATTGATGGCTATGTCTAAGGACATGGGTCCTTTGGCACAGCACGCCCGCAATTTTAACAATTGTCTATGCTTGGTGACCATAAAAATAAATTAGTTTTGTTGCATTGGTATTTCAATTTGTGCGTCTGTTGTTTCGCTCGGTGTCTGCGTTTGCGCCGCTCAAACGGATTATGTTACACAGCCACACACACACATACATAGGAAAATTTCTATTTGAGAGCTTAGTTATTATGAATTTCAATATGATATTTTTCATTCAGCAAAACTCGAGCCGCTTTAAATCCTAACGGATTTTGCGCATAAAAACACCATGCTCGTGCTATCTCGCTTGCGCACAAGCTGCAATATTTATGCTAGCTGTGATTTTCGTTCCCATGCGTGTGTGTGTGAATGACTGTGCGTGTGTGTGTGTGTCAGTACCAGGTAGAAGACTAAGTAAACGAGTTATCTGTGGGCTTATCGTTGGCCCGTGTGTTGATGGTTTTATGGTTTTTCATGTCTAAAACAAACAATGGCCAAAAGAAACAGGCAGCGACGTAATCCTTAACAAACAAATCTCGCTACGACTGGCCCACGGTCCGCGGTTTGTGTTTATTGCTTACCATTGTTTGTGCACAAACCAGTGTTGCTAAATCCTTTAGCTTGCTGTCCAATCTGGCTAGCAGCAGAAGTGGCGTATTTGAAAAAAAAAGCCAGACTGCGGTAGTTTGAGTCACTTTTAGCGGTTTTTAATTCTTAACGTTAGAAAGTAAGGAACTGACGCTGAACTAAATACTGAATTTTAATAACTCATTATTCAAAATCTAGCATGAATTTCCACAATTCTAGGCAAGTCTAGAGTAGCTGCCATTGCTATCCTGCTGCAGCTAAAAAGTTGTCAGCACTGGTAGAAGCCACCGCAAGACGTTAGGTCAGCCAGATTGGTTTGTAATGATTTCTGGGTTTCTGGACATGCACTGCCAGAGGTGCAGGTACACACACACACACACGTAACAAAAAAAATTCCACTTAATAAGCCATAGATCACTTTTTCGAACATTTCACATAGCCATATTACAATTTATTTTAACGACAGTGAGAAGAAAAAAAATTAGTTGTGATTCTAATGCCTAATCACCAAGACGGTGGCCTGTCCTCGCTGCCAGGGCGGCCATAGAGGGCACTCTTATCCCGGAACATGGTCATGCGTTCCGTTTCCTTCTTGTCCAAGAAGTGACCGATCGCAAATCCAAGCAGAGGCAGTGCTGCCCACAAGGCACGTTTGTCCAGACCGAGAACCATCCTCAATGTTGATGATTTGTTTATGCTTTTAGCTTTGACTCTTCAGCGCCGCGCTTTGTGCTGCTAAATTTTGTTGGCGCTTCCACTCGCGTGTATGGGACCAATCAGCGTAAATGGAGCCGACTGTAACAGTTGGAAAGAATATCACTGCACCGTACTTTCGCGCCAGATGCGAGATGATGCTACTGCCCATATGTATGTGTCTTGGTCAATGCGAATGAAACTGTAAACAGACAAGTAATGAGCAACAACAAGAACGTGTTAAAAGTCTGCGATTTTATTATTTGTTTTCTTGGGTTACGTAATGAAAATGCATGAAACACCACTGCCAAATTTATTTAGCTGTGTACGATGAAGATAATGGCTTACTCTGTACGCACGCGCGTCAAGTGCGTATTAGTTTCCTAACGGCGTTAATGAGCTTTGTTAAAAAATTGCCGAATTCTATGTTGTTATTAACTTACGCTTATGCAAAAGCCTTGCCGATTAGAGATGTAAGCCTCGACGACATATCGATAGAGTACACAACAAATATTCACCTATTAGGCAAACGAATATCGATAGGTGTTTTATGCGATAGAATTTTGCATTGCGCCCATCACAGATTGAACCAAAAACAGCTGACCGTGCAGATGGAAATACAAAGTTCAAATCCGTTTCGGTTTTGTTTACATCACTCTCCCCTATTCACCTATTAGTTCATGATTCTTGCGGAAATATGCCTGGCCAAAGCTCACGTCATGGGCTCTCTGACAAGGAGTCGTCGGCTGCAGCAACTAATATGTACTCAAACGAGAAACAAGAGTAGAAATGCAACAGCTGCCAACGTAAAAGTTTTAACAGCGGACGATTTTTCGGTACTTCTGGGCGATGAGCAGCGACAACGCTGTCTGGATCTGCTACGCAAGTTGCCGCCTTTTTCTCGTCCTAAAATGTTGCTGCACAACAGGAATGAGAAAAGCTCAGCCTCGGTTCTAATAGCTTTATGCCAGGAGCGCGAAACGTAAGTAAATATATTTACGACTGGTTCATCAGGCATTTAATAAAACTCAAATCACATAGGAATGAAATTTCACTGTTGTATACCCGCCGCTCACGGCACTTGCGTAGCCACAGTCTGCAGATATCATTTCCGGGAGGCAAAAGGGATGAGACTGACGAGAGCTATGTTGATTGTGCACTGCGCGAAACAGAGGAAGAGATTGGTCTGCCACGAGAACGCATCCAAATTTGGGGAGAAGCCAGTCCCATAATATTACCACGCACCGCCGCCATCGTACCAGTTGTGGGCGTGGTGCCCGATTTTCATGTGTCCGAGCTGAAGCTCAACCTAGACGAAGTGGAGGAGGCCTTCAGCATACCGATCAACACGCTAATCTCTCCAGCAGTCGCACGACACACGCAATTTCGCAGCGGCTACAGTAATCCCGTCTTTGTGGTGGATGAGCTACGCATCTGGGGAGTCACGGGCTACTTGACATATTTCTTTCTGCGCTGCCTGCTATCCAATGCAATGCCTCAAACGCTCAAAACGAATATCAAATATATACGACCCTATAAATTGCCGCCAAAACTACCTCATCATCACGTAGAAGCTAGAGAGTGAGCGAGTAGCCTTCGAGCGGGAATACTCGTAAATACTCAAAACGGAAAGCTCGTCTAATATGTTTTTGTTGTTGAATGTGTTTATATGTAATATAATTGATGTACATAAAAAATATAGATAACATGTTAAATGATAAACATGTCTCTCTTTTTCTCTTGATCGCTCCTTGCATAAAGCTCTCTCTTTTATGCAATTCTCAATCATAAGTCAAAAACATTGTTTTTGTTGTTATTATTATTATAATTGTTTTAGTTTGGTATTTGAATTTACAATTGTGTCCATATAACATATGAATATATATATATATATATATATATATCCACATAGATGTCTAACAAAATTTGTTTTGTATAATTTCATGTGTGTTTCTTCTACAAGAGCGCACAATTTGTTTATTTTATATAATTCTTTCTGCTATAATAGTGTTAACATTTATATATATGCAATAAATATGTGAGTATATTATATTTACATATTGTTTCAACGTCAGAATCCTAAAGCTAGTGGAAAACTACTCTTGAGAGCTTGCAGCCGGCTTCAGCGTAGCCCCATCGCTCGCAATTGCAATTGCCATCGAATTTGTATTTAAATTTGAACTTGCATTTGAATTTGTCGTGGAAGGAACGCTACAATCGTGCACTTGTGCCGTAACGGTCGTATAACAGGAGCCGCAAAGTCTTACTGGATTAAAAAGCTTTTCGTATGGTAAAGGCGCCCAGAATTCAGAGCAGTCAGCACAGAAAATTTCGCCACATGATCTGAAAAGAGAGAGATAAATAGAAAATTTTTCATTTGATATTGATCGGGATCGAAATTGTTAATATACTAGTTGAAATAGACGTGTTAATTCTGTTGTTTGATCGAAAAACAATCGCAAATTGAACACAACCATATTTAGCATTGAATACGATATGTTAATCTGAGTTTGTTACAAAATGAGCAAATATTTATCACAGCCAATCTGACATTAGTTCCGTATTTATTTGTAATTTACTTTCACTGTCTTCAAATCTGACATCGTCGTCTTGTTGCGAACCAATGCTAGAAAGAATAAAGCAGCAACAAATAAAGGACCTTATGATAGCAAACTAATAATTGAGCGAAAAGCTTTGCTGATGATGAAAGTAAAATATGGTAATACATATATATAAAATAGAATAATAATATAGTACATAGATAAGATAAGATATTAGTTACGAACTGCTGCCAGATTGATTGCTTAGAAATGGCTGTTGGCCCATACAGTTAGAGTAAGTGTGTGTGTGTTTGTGTGTTTGTGGGTGTGTAGCTAAGGTAACTAAGACATGTTATGAACATAATACAGATACGTGGTACAGATACAGGTACAGGACAAATTAAAAAGAATATGTTGAAATGCGCACCGACAATGATGTTTTCTTCGTCCAAGCCAGAACTCAATTTGACAATTCGAGCAACGCGAAACGGCATGATCGGGCACCCAGAGGACACTGGAAGCCTTTTTCTCTTGTATCGTGGATGTGGCATACGATGATGGACCACTACGCTCTTCTACGGCTTCCCATGAACATGTTGATGCATTTTCAACAATATCCGATCCGTTTTCCTAAAGAAATGTAAATAATTAGACCAAACAACGAAAAACAACACAAACCATTCACATGACAATTTCGTTGCCCCGAATTCAACATTTAAATCTAAAGGATTTAGCCTAGATTTATGCAATTCTATATTATATATAGTATAGTATGTCTCGAAACTATCCAGCCAGAGTTGAACTGATGACATGACATGTGGTAAATGCGCAGATATGGCTGGATATATTCATCTCATTTTGTGTTCAGTTTAGAGTAAACATATGAACAAATTTACAAACATTTGGCAATCCATAATATTGCTTTTTCTTTATGTTTGCAAATTTGTTGTGCGTAATTCATATGGAATTTATATAACATTTAATGACATAATTACATGCTCCACATTTGTCGATACGACGCTGTTGCAGCTCGGACAACCTTTTTGCAGCAACGCCAAACGCATTCCGTGAATTTCGCGCAAAAGGACTTCCTCGCGTAGCTGGAGCAATAGAAATAACATTTAGATTAGCAATTTGCATTACATTCAAGTGCCATAGAAATATATATATGAGAACCTTGTGCTCTTGAACGATCTGATGTAGGCGTATGTTCTGTTCACTTAAGCCATGGGACAGGCCATCTGGGCAGGATATTGTAAATTGTGTTCGCTCTTGCGAGCCTTGCGGGGTCGGAGGCAATGATATAAGTCCAGACGCCGGGAAGTTAAGTGCACTGCAATATATATATATATAGAAATTAATTAATTGTCTTTATTTAATGAGTTTCCATTTACGATATTTACCTAACGTTTTCTGCATATTTCGAATGCGTATGCTCCCGATTGAGATTCGACCAGAGCGTGTTTCTTCTACTTGCCGCCGACTCATCAAAGGGCGCAAACATATTATGCGTTTGAGAATTGCATCGGTGATGCTCAGGTGATAGCGGCAAGGATTCGCTGGTGTTGCTGCCATAGTTTAAGGTAACTGTTCCATTCAAAATATCTTTTGTGGCATTCGTCTCCTTGCTGCTCTCCCCGTTCGCTGTCTTGTGGCCTTCCAACGGCTGCTCGAATGCATTGCTTTTCTCCAAAGCTGCTGCGCTGGCGTTCTGTTGAAAGTATCTCAGATTGTTGGGCTTGATGTGAACTCGAGGCAAATTGCTATAGCTTTGACTAATTTTATTGGTATGCGCAACGGTCGTTGCTTCGGTCTTTTTTTCATGAGGTATGACATCGGCATCTTGTTCTGAAGGCACGTCGCTGTCTTTAATTGGATCTTGCGACACCACAAGCGTCTCTTGCTGTGTCGCTTCTATAGGAATTAAGGTATCCGTACTAGTATCGATTTGGCCACCACTCTGACACAGAGTCTGACTCTTATCACTAAAGCTTTCACAGATGGAGGGAGCATAGTCTAAATATTCGAAAATTTCAATTAATCATTTATAGATAAGGCAACTGACTTTTAGCTAATTAACAAACCGTTTGGGGAATCACAAGGGGTATGTATTGCTAAGTCAATGGGCTTGGAGTCCATGCGCTGAATGGTGATCTTGCCATTTATGGATGCAGAACTCTCGCTCAATGTATCACGTTGAACTGCTGTAGTGCTTTGGTCATTGTTTTTGAATTCAGTTAACAATTTGGCGGAACCATTTTGTGCATGCTCCGCCAGCTTTGGACTATCAACTGAATCGCTGTCCAATTTGACATCTGATTTCGCATCGATTATGCATTCCTTTGGCTCCAGCCGAATGTCAAACATGGAATTGCTGCTCGCACTCAAATTGATTCCCTCCGTTACACTGCAAATATTGAACTTGATTAATGATTGTTCAGTAATATCATATCGAATATATAAGTACATTGGATCCACGGTCAGATTGGGATCACTTGATCTTCTCGATATCGTACTCTGTGACAGCTCATTTGTTGCAATGTTTTCTGTCGAACGAGTTTTCACGGTCGCTCCTAAAATAAACAAATATATATCAACTTTAAGCATAATAATATTCAGACATTGTCTCCATTTACCATTCACGCTGTGAACACTTTGCCGTTCATTGCTTTGTAAGGGAAGATCGGTGCCGTTTTTATTGCCCAAATTGCCAAGATATACATCGGACCAGAAGTGCAAATAGCGCACATTGTGCGCCGGCCAAAGTACCTGAAATGAACGAATTGGAAACTCAAGCGATTCGATAATTAATTGCAGTTGAATTCACCTTTTCAGTCTCGTGTTTATAGAGCGGATTTCTATACATCGTTTCGGCTAAGAATGGCCAGACAGAGAATGTTCGGTCAAATACCGAATTCTCAATTCGTTCTTTCAGTGAGTTGCATAGGAACGTGCCAAACAGACATGACAGTGAGTGCTGGGC